AATTATCTGAAACTGAGGGGACTTTTTAGTTAGGTTAGTGCTCTCCTGCCTCATCAGCTTCCATCGTCATGTCATCCGTTGACACCGTTAGGCGCTATGTCCTCAGTAGATTGTAGGGCTGGTTGCGGTCACTGAAAGGAGACACTGTACTGAGAAAACGCGAAGTTTGACCCATGGCTCCATTCTTTTGAGATTCTTTTGTGTCTTGGTTCTGTTAATTAATATATTGATTCTGCCCTCCAATTAAAACATCACTTTGATAAACACATTTTCTGTATTGTCACTGAAGTCAATAATAAATACTGAACCATCTAGTTGGAAGATAGAAATTTTGCAGTATATTACTGGAAATTTAATTACTACTGTTGGAGTGTGATTGTTCAACTAGTTACTAGTGTTTTGTCACATAGCTTTACTACCATGTAGCCAGTAAGTAGAACCATAAAGAAATAAATAATTTGGGGTTAAGATGGAAAGTTTGTCTGTTTAAACACTAAGCCTTTTATTTTAGTCATTTGAGATAGAGCTTTTCACATTTCAATAAACTGGGAATATTTTGCTGTATCCTAGAGAAAAGAAGACTTAGAGGACACATGCCCTGAAGAGTTTGAAGGGCAGTCATAATTAGGTTTGAAGCAGCGTCAATGAGTGTCCCTAGGGAGACAGGAGGAAAGCTGACCTTGTGTAAGGAACTTTTAAACAGGGATTCAAGTAGAGTTTAGCTGCCTTAACAGTTGATCACTTTTTTTTAAACAAATAAATGATCTCAAACTTGCCAGCCTTTAATTTTGCCAAGTAAGGATTTCTTTTAACATAATATCCCTACCATTATTTTATTTTCAGAAATGTTTCTGGACACAACTTAAGTATACTGAGTGGCCATTGAAAGCATTGCTATTTCCTGCCTGAAGCCAACTTCAGCTGTTAAGAGCCACCAGTGATGACAATTTCACCGTAGTGAAAAACGTCAGGCCAGTGTTCAGACAGAGAACACGCTTCAACCTGTGAAGTAGCTCCTGGGCGCCCCAAAGATAAAGCCCGCATTTCCTCCCGGGCAGTAAAGGCCTCACACTCGCACTCGCCCGCATTGCCTCATTATCTCCCAGCATCGGGCTGGATGCGGGTGAGCTCTGGCCACCACCTCTCCGCAGTTGCGCAAGGGCCTCCCTGCCCTACCCCGGGCGTTCCTGTAGCATCTCCTGCTCTTGCGGGTTTTAGGTACAACCCAGCAGAGTGAAGGATTCTAACAGACCTGCCTGCTACCCTCATAGGAGATGCTGCTTACCTGTCAGGACAGTATTTTACCTTTTTTTAAAGACCACTTTATAGGACCGTCCCTGGTGGCGCAGCAGGTTAAAGCACAGCACCGAGAAGCGAAAGCTACTTCCGCACGAGTTTGATCCCTTCCCCAGAGCTGACCACATGGCCCGGCAGACCTCTCCTGACCCGCCCGCTGCTCCCGTCAGCAGTGGACTTCTCAGTCGGCCTGTTCTGCTCCCCACTCTCTCTCTGGTGAATCTTCTCACTGGCCCTGTACCTCTGGCTTGTACCCCAGTTCTGTATGCATATATTAATAAATCTTTTTAAAAAATAAACAATTTATAATCCATCCTTGAGACAGACTGCAGTGCAGTTAGTAGGTTGTGGTTGGGATTTTTGGTTTGGAACTTTTTACAGATGTAAAAAAAGTATGTGACCTTCTCAAGGTCATGTACCTATGGCTTGAATGTGGTAGAATCAGAACTCCAGTCGAAGTTATTTTTTTGTGGTGTTCTGCTTTTAATTCAAGCATCGTGTTCTTACTGATTTCAATGCAGTCATTCATTGATTTAGCAAAAATGTACTGCTTGCTGAGCGTGATGCTATGTAATAAGGATACAATGATGACAATGGTATTCCTTTAAAAAAATACATATATTTATGCATACAGAACTGGGGTACAGGCCAGAGGTGCAGGGCCAGTGAGAGGATTCACCAGAGACATAGTGGGGAGCAGAACAGGCAGATCAATGAAGTACACTGCTGAGGGGAGCAGCAGGCAAGACAGGAGAGTTCTGCTGTGCCATGTGGGTCACCTTCGGGCAGGGGGGGGGATTGAACTTGTACTGAAGTGGCTGTGGCCAGCTTGTGGGACTGCGTCCTAACACTTTGCGCTACCAGGGAGAGCCTGGTCTTCCTTTTTTCTAAGGGAGGGCATTCCCATGGAGAGAAAAGGTTACTGCTATCACAATGTTACTTGTGGTCCAGCAAGATTCCTAGATAGAGCTGAGTTGAGTGAGAGTTGACCATAAGCTGAATGTTCTCCAAAGTATAAATTTGAAATAGCTATCAGTAACTCAAACAAAATAACAATGCAGCACAACTTCAATAGTGCAGAGAAATGTTCAGGAGTTTGAGAGGGCTGAATATTTGGTGTGGTTCAATAGTTATATTGAGTAGGATGAAACTATTAACGTGTAGAACTTACAGGGAAGACTCCTTCACTTAGCAGACACATAATTAGGGACCTATTTGGAGAAAAGGGGAGAAGCAGCTCTTAGACCCCAAGGAAGTCAGTTTATCACTGAGGTTTATGGCTCAGAGAACATTCTCAGTGATCTTATTTTTACGCTTAAGGTCCAGGTCAGATGTTGCCTCTTCTCTGTGCTGTTTCTGACCTTTTCCATGTTATCATTGTTTTTTTTTTTTATATTTTGGTTATTTTTGCATAGATTTGGGGTGCAGACCAGAGGTGAGAAGATTCAGCAGAGACAGAAATGGGAGCAGAACAGGCAGATCTACTGAAACACACTGCTGAGGGGACAGGCGAGGTCTGCAGTACTATCTGGGTCAGTTCCCTGACGGGGCTCAACTCAAGCCATGGAGATGGGCCTTCACAGAGCCAGTGCGGAGACTTACCCCCAGGCCACGAGGGGTCCCTGCACATGTTATTCACTGCTGTCTCGTCTCTGCTGCACCTCTGCTAAGACGTATATCATGCTATTTGTGTGGGTTTTTTTCTCCTCTAGACTATTAATTTTTGAAAGCAAGATTCTGTTATAGTGATGTTTGAGTCCATTTGTATGATCACCATGTCATTGTCTAAAATGTAAAAATGAAGCCCACTAAGTAATTTGATCTTGATTCTAAATATTTACCTCAACCTTAAAAGTTTTCTCCAAATAGTTAAGATACCCTATATGAGTCCTCCCACTTATATTTGTCATTGTTTTTTACTTTTCTCCTTTACTTTCCTTCTGCAATAGTGATGCTGCTTCTTTAACACTTACTTTCTTGCTGCTATTTCTTTGTGCCTGAATCCTTTGCCTGGGCTTCCTACCAGTACCTCTGTAGGATATATACAAATCACAAAGAGATGAACTTTTGCTTCTGTTAGGCCACATTTCTGTATTTTGTTCAATATATGACGTGCTGTTTCTTGGCCATTACCCCGTTTACTTCCCATTTAGTTGCTGAACTGCCTAAGAAGCCGGAACCTTGACAGGTTCTACAGAGTTCTGTGGGGTAGCATAGGTGGTCCATAGATGGTCACTTCACTTAAGTTAAAATCAGACTCTGCAGTGGTCTTATAAAGTACATTTATATGGGTGAATTAAAGAGGAACTTAAATGTGAGCATGGTGTCAATTGTAGTTAAGCTGTCCAAATCAGAAAACATAGCCTTATTAGGTTTTATAGGCATTTGACATAGTTCACCCTTAGTCCTATCTTTATAACTATTGGTGAATCTTAGAATGTAAAGATACACTCATATCAGTGTGTATCTTCTTAGTATTGTATTGGGGTCTGCATTTATTTTCCTTATCATTAGATGTCTCCCCTTTATACTTGTATCAAAGTACCAGCAATATGTATTGATAATTGTCTGTTTACTCATCTGTCTGCTTCATTGATCATTGTCCTGTGGCTGGATTTGTTTATCAATAAACATCTAGCGCATGAATAAATAGTAAAATTGCTTTCTTAATAAAAATTTCCACTGCTCCCCATATTTTAGATAAGCCTCATTTGCTACTCTTGTAATAAACTAATATATTGAGCAAAAGCCTCCATTTATAGTTCTCTGTGCAAGATAGTGAGGACTGAACCATGAATTACCTTTGTGAAAAATGTTTGGAATGATAAAACTGGAACAAAATTAGCTAGTCACTCCATGTCACCTGTTAGATCCTTTCCGTACAAAATTACACGTGTGTATAGTCATTTTTCCTCTTGCTACTCTAAGCGATATTTTGCTTAGCACAAGCTATTGTTTGTTTTTGCCTCAATTGATTGTCTATATTCATTTATACAGATAGGTAGTGAATATAATGAATGTGTATATTTCAAGTGATTTAACTAGGGAAACTTAGGGCAGAGTGATGAATTTAACTGTTAATGGGAAGGTGACTTGCTTTTGCTTTGTGGGCATCTCTCTCGCTTGGCACTCAGGAATGGGGAGTGGTAGATGAGTGACATCACTGTGGGAATGTTCTCAGGGTACCACATGTCTGTGTGTGTTGGGTGACCAAGGTCCTGACATTTTTGTCAGCTTATCGTGACCTCATCAAATTACTCTTCTTAATGCATTCCCCCATATAGCTATGAAATAATAAATGTATGTACCCAGGATATCTAGAGCAAAAGATCATGGCACACTGATTTGAGATGATTTCATGATAGGTATTCTAAAAAGGCATGCCTGGAAAGTAGCATCCAGACCTCTTTTATACCTGCTGGCGCTGCTGAGGAATGACTGCCATTTCGTGTGTGGAGGAGACACGTTTATATCCTGTCATTATCATATATGAACATACAACGCATTGTTACTTTCAAATGCATCCAGTCATACTCCCTGCAGGAACTTTGTTTTCCTGGTAGGGAATATTAATGAGTTATTTGCAGTGAATTCAACACAAATTCTAAGCTCTGAAATTTTAAGTTTTAAACCATATCTAAATTTTGCTTTTGGAAGTGTCTGCATACTCATTATTAAACTTTAATTGTTTCTGTTCTTGTTTTCCTAGGATACTGACACTTCATGACATGTCATTATCTAGCGCAATAATGGACATTGACCTGTTTCGGATTAGTTGATGACCTTCAGAAATGATTGAATAATAGCTACTACAGAGAAGCTGAAGATACTCCATTGGGAGTGAACAGCCCACATCGTACCTGAATTGTTCAAGATGACTGATCCAATGATGGACTTTTTTGACGATGCCAATCTTTTTAGTGAGACCTTGGAAGGTTTGTCAGACGATGCATTTGTACAACCAGGACCTGTTTCACTAGTTGATGAATTGAACTTGGGTGCCGAATTTGAACCTTTGCACATAGATTCACTGAACCATGTTCAAGGTACTCCAACACATCAGAAGATGACTGACTATGAACAGTTAAATCAGTTTGAGTCAATGAAATTTCATCAGGTTAATCAGTCTTTTGGTAGCCCGGCTGAACATGTGTTATCACCTCACTCCCAGTTTAATTGTTCTCCAATTCACCCCCAAAACCAACCCAATGGTCTGTTTCCAGATGTTGCAGATGGCAGCCCAATGTGGGGCCATCAGACAGCGACTAGCATTTCTAGTCAAAATGGGTCTCCTTTTCACCAACAAGGACATTCTCACCCTATGCATCAAAGTAAAAGCTTTGTGTCCCACCCTGACTTTGCCTTATTTCAGGCCAATGAACCACAGACACAGTGCACTTCACTACGTTCACAGCAAAACAGAAATAATCTTAACCCAGGGCAGAATTCTCTCAGCCAGTCAAAAAATTTCATGGATGTCAATGTTTCTGGTCCGCACAGAGTCAGTGTCAACCACCCACCGCAGATGACCAACGCCTCGACTTCACAACAGTCCCTTTCGATGGCATCGTTCTCGCAAACGTCAAACCCTCCCATGCACTTTCTCAAGTGCAGCAATCACCCGGAAGGAAATTTTAATGGCCATTCTCCAAATATGACCTCTTGTTCTGTCAGTAACTCACAGCAGTTTTCTTCCCATTACTCCTTTTCTGGTAATCATGTATCACCAAACAGTCTTCTTCTTGCACCCAATCATACAAACCAGACTCTGTCTGATTTTACTGGAACTAATTCCTTTTCACCTCATAGAGGACTCAAGCAAGAATCCTCTCAGCATATGCTGAATCCCAATACATCGTTGAATTCAAATAATTTCCAAATGTTGCATTCATCACATCCTCAGGGTAATTATAGCAACTCCAAGTTATCCCCTGTGCACATGAACTTCGCGGATCCTGTGGACTCAGGAAATCAAATGGGCCGTTTCAATGATCATGTCGAAACGAACGGGTTTTCATCTTTAGACGAGAATTTACTTCATCAAGTGGAGTCTCAAGCTGAGCCCTTCCCAGGACTTGACCCCGATGACCTCCTGCACGAGGGCCTCCTTCCCCAGTTTGATGAGGCAGCATTTGGGCAAGAGAACTCCAGCCATGTTTTAGATCATGACCTCGATCGGCAGTTTGCTCCACACCTTGTAACCCGCCCTCCCGAGGTGGGTCAAGCTCAGTTGCACAGTCAGGCTCGGAGCTGGCACTCATCCCTCTCCAACCACCAGCACCTGCATGACAGAAATCGCCTGTGTTTACAGCGGCAGGTATGTGGTTCTGTTCTCTTGGTGATTTGGGGTGCAGAGTTTTTACTCATTGAGGTTCTTTTTTATCAGACGTACTCAAAATTTCTCAGACTCAGTGATTCTGTTAATGAATATACAGATGCTGGTATGAGCTTATATTGCTTTAATAATGCTTTTGAATGTGGTTCATTGATTGCTCAAAGCATTAGAATTTAACTTCTTGTTTTAGAAAATGGTAAGGTTTCAAGACACCTTGTGACTTTCAATTGTAATTGCCTTCAACAGAAAGATATTATCAAAAAAAAAAAGAACCCTTAATAACCATAATGAAAAGGGAAACAAAATTCAGTTTTGAGTGTTTCAGTTTTACTTACTAAGAAACAATTTTTTTTTAAGATTTATTTACTTATGCATACAAGAGCTGGGGTACAGGCCTGAGAGGTAAGGGGTAAGAGGATTCACGAGAGGCAGAGTGGGGAGCAGAAACAGACAGATCTACTGAGATACACTGCTGAGGGGAGCAGTGGGGAGACAGGAGAGGTCTGCCGCGCACGTCCAGTGGGTCACTCCCTGGCCAGGGATCAACTTCTGCTGCAGAAGCTGTGGACAGCTTCAGAGTGCTGTGCCTCAACCCGTTGCACTACCAGGGAGAGCTCAAGAAACACTTCTAATGTTAATACTTGGTGCTGACAAATTTTATAGTGAGATTGGAGCTACTATGGCTTTGTTAACTGATAACATACATTTTGGAGAGCAATTAGGTGTTACATGTGAGTATAAAAATATTTCACTATAGGCCCTCCCTGGTGGCGCAGCGGGTTAAAGCACTGCACTAAGAAGCTTAGGCCACTTCCGCGTGAGTTCGATTCCCGCCTGCTCCGAGGTGACCACATGGCGTGGCAGACCTCTCCTGACCCGCCCGCTGCTCCTCTCAGCAGTGTACTTCATAGATCTGCATGTTCTGCTCCCCAATCTGTCTCTGGTGAAGCCTCTCACCCTCTGCATCTCTGGCCTGTACCCCAGTTCTGTACGAATAAATAAATAAATCTTAAAAAAAAAATATTTCACTATAATAATCCAACAGTAGCTCAAATACAGCAGAAGTACTGTACCCAAAAGTAGATGTTACTTATATCTGTGATGGAAGATTAGAAACTGCAGAAATGATTATCATAGGGGTAAGGGATGGTCATGCATTTAAAATACTTGCATTGAGGAGACATTAACGACAGAGGGAAAGCCGATCCAGACTCATGGGTGCAGGCAGCACCCTCCTGCCTGCCTGCGGCCCTGCGGGCGATGCCCTGAGCCTCCTGCGCCCTGTGCAGAAAGGCCGCAGCTCTCCTGCAAGGCTGCGGGGCAGGCCTCTCCTCTCCCCACCAGGCCTGTCCCTGGCAGGCAGCACTTCGGCCCCTCCCCTTTTATAATAAATCAGTCCTTGTGAGTGAAAGAGTGATGGCCACAGTGGCCTGGTTCAGAGTGTGGGCCCCAGTGCCAGACCTCCTGGTGGCACTCGGCTCCTGTCGCCTGTTCACTGTGTGAATTCTAGCAGGCCAGGTCATTTCTGTGCGTCTCCTGTGCTTCATCTTTGCAAGGTGGAATAACCGTAGGATCTAGCTCATGCAGTCTTGGTCAGAATTGAATTACCGCACGTAGAAGTGCTGAGAAGTGTGTCTGGCCTGCAGTAAGCACTCAGTAAATGCTTTTGTAATTGTGCTTTTTTTTTTGTAGTATGAAAAATTACGGGAGGAAAGTTGATTTTTGTAGGATAGGGTAGTTAGACTTCATAGTTTTTGTCATGTTATAAATAGTACTTTTGTAGTAATTACTAACTGGCATTGTATTATTTTTCTTGAAATATTGTTAAATTAAGGGTTTACGATATGCTTGATACTTGGTTACCTGTGAGATTCAGTGGACAATGAAGTATATCACAGTTCTTGAAATTAAGTAGTTAGGGACCATTTTGCCTTTTAATTTTTTTGTATTGGGGCGGCATTGGTGTTGACACTGTACAGTTTAGAGGAGCAGGCTCACACCGCCTCAGACGCGAGTCACCACCCCCACCTCTCACCCCAGTTCCCAGGGCCCCTCCTCCCTTATTTCCTTCCCCCACCTCTGGTAGCCCCAACTCTGTGGTCATAGTTCTGGGGTTTATGCTGGTTTAGTTTTATCAATTTAGAAACTCTTTTTTTTTCCATCTTAAAGCATCATCTTCTCCATTGGGGTAACCTGAACTCTATTTCAAATGATATTTCCAGTCCATCTTTTGGAATTGTCTAGCTAGATTTTAATACTCCTAAAAGGGCCTTGCACATCCTGCGCCTCCCCTTCCTTTTGTGCCGTGAGTGGAATATTATGATTTTGCTCCCTCTACTGGAAAAGGGTCAAGGAGAACCCTGGAAAAAACTGTGCTGATGAACCCAGGTCGTTTGTCCACTTTATCTGGAGATGTCCAGTTGATCTGCATATAAGTCAAGTTATGAAACTTGGCATCTACTTTGTTTCTTAATTTTGCCTTTTCTAAGATTTTATCATTGTTACTTTGTTAAAAAAAAGATTTATTTATGCATACAAAAAATGGGATGTAGGCCAGAAGTGGGGGGGGGATTCCCCAGAGACAGAATGGGGAGCAGAACAGGCAGATGGACTGAAATCCACTGCTGAGGGGAGCAGTGGGAGACAGGAGAGGTCTGCTGCGTTCTGGGGGTCCCTCCCTGGCCGGGTCAAACTCAGGCCACAGTGGCTGTGCTTAGCTTCATAGTGCTGCTCTTCAATCCCTGCACCACCAGGGAGGGCCACATTTTTTTTTTAAAATTCATGTTTTCTAACTATGTTCTACTGACTTTAAAATGAAGGAAAGAAAGAAAGCCTACCCTTATGTAGGCTGGAATGAGAGGGCGTCATTATAGTAACTAAAGCTGTCCCTGCCATTCAGGTAACACACTGTCTCAGCTGTTATTTTCAGACCTCGCTTAAGTGGTCTTTATCAGTCTTCCTGGTCTGTATTGATACATTCAAAGGCTTTACATCTTTTCATTTGGATTCAGGGTTTTTATTTTGCAGCTTCTAATTCTTTTTGTACTCGAAAATTGATAAAGAGCAGTTGATTTGGAATTTTATTTATTTACTGTTTTCAGGTTTCCTTTTATTACATAGGTAGAGTGATATTTGGTTGTATGGTTAAGAGGAGAGACGGACTGATAGGAAACGTAGATTATGATTAATATAGACTGCATATAGGTTTTTTATATTTTGAATTATATATAATTAAAAAAAGATTTTTTATTTATTTATGCACACAAGAACTGGGGTACAGGCCAGAGGTGTTGGGGGAGGGTGAGAGAATTCCCGGGGACAGTGAGGTGCAGAACAGGTGGATCTACTGAAGTCCACTGCTGAGGGGAAGCAGCAGGCTGGACAGAAGAGGTCTGCTGTGGCCTCCTGGGGGGAGATCAAACTCCTGCTGTGTACCCACCTTCATCATGCTGCGCTTTAACCCCTTGTGCCATGGGGAGGGCCCTACTTTGTGTAGTTTTTAAAAACTCTTTTAATTGCAATAATTTCATGTCAATAACTTAATGTAGAAATTAAGAGATTAAAAATAAGTGACATAATTTTTGGTTGGTTGTCATCAAAAGCAAGATATATATTTTTAAAAGATTTACTTATTTATGCGTACAGAACTGGGGTACAAGCCAGAGGTTCAGGGACAGTGAGTGGATTCACCAGAGACAGAGCGGGGAGCAGAACAGGCAGATCAAGGAAGTCCACTGCTGAGGGGAGCAGCTGGCGGGTCAGGAGAGGTCTGCCGTGCCATGTGGTCACCTCCTGGGTGAGGATCAAATTCATGCTGAAGTGGCTTTAGTTTCTTAGTGCTGTGCTTTATTCTGCTGCATCATCAGGGAGAGCCCTAAAAGAACAAGGTATTTTTTGATCCTCTTTGAAAATTCATAGATCACATTCCATTCAGACCCAGGAAGCTTCTGTGGAAATGTTTGATATTAAAGCCTATCTCTATGTCTTACTTTTCCTCATTCCCCAATGGAAGGGGGTGTTTATGGACATCATCTCACTGTGTTTTAGGGCACCCTGAAGTCTGGTCAGTCATTAAAACGTGACTTGTTGAGAACTCATCTTATATAACCTCTAAATTTTGCATTTAAAAAGGAAGTTATGAGAAATGATAAATATGGCAAGTGCTTCAAAATGGCAAGTGTTCACAAAATAATAGAGAAGACTAGCTTATTTCTTTCTCAGATTTTCAGAGCAAAGGAATTTTGAGAAAATAATGCTGTAAACTTTTGAATATTGTCTTTTTTCACTGAGATACTATCAGTTTACACACCCCATGGTTTAGGGCTATAGGCTCACTCCTCAGAGGTGTGTCTCCCAGCACCTCAGCACCAGAAACTCCAGCAGCCCGCACCCCCCTTCCATGACTTCACTGCTGCAGTCAGGCTTCTAGGGTTTGTTTGGTGCAGATTTTTCTGCTTCTTTATATTGCACACCCAGAATTTGTGTCGTCCTATTTAGCTTCGCTGAGCATCTGTTCCCCATGCTGTCCAGTTGCCACGTTGCAGGCTTTGACCTGAGTAGTCACCTGGCGCGCGTAGGACCTGAATCTTGAGCTTCTCACCTGCACTGGGCTTTCCGGGGCTGCTGCATGGTGGCACTGAGGAGGGGGTGTCTCTGTCCTTCGGAGTCAGTGGTTCATGTTCTTCACCATCCTCCAAGGACAAACACTTTCTGCTCTCTTGTAACACAAACATCTTTCATGTCTGCCTTCTTTGCGAAGTGAATGTAACATGGAACACAGTGCTTTGAACGTTTAGGGTAAACGTTTTGTAGCAGTGAAAAATGTGATGGGATTTCCAAAGTCTCAGTCAAAATAGGAAATAGAATTTTGAGTATGCGTAATTATATATAATTCTTTGTTGGCTTTGTAGTCTAATGAATTTATTAGTTAATTTACTACTCTGATTTGTTTTTTAATTTTTTTCCCTAAAGTTAGGGAACAT